CTTTCTTCATTACTTGCTTTCCTCTTCTTCTTCTTGTCCTTCCTGAGCCGAGGGTCTATTGGAAACAACCTCTCTACCTGCATTAGGTAGGGGTAAGGTCTGCGTACAGACTACCCTCCCAGACCTCTCATGTTGGGATCAAACTGGGTATGTTGTTGTTGTTGTTCAAAGAGTCATCCCCTTGATATAAAGGCCAAGTCCATCATACTCGGGGACGACCCTTTTGAACAAGTTCGAAAGGTTATCGAGAAACAAGTCCAAGTGATATACCAGAAGGCTACGGCCATATTAAAGACTACGATCATATAAAAAGGCTACGAACGAAATAATGCGGCTCAGAGACATCCGACTTCCACCATAAATTAAAGGCCTTCAAACACTTTGAAAAAACCAGTTAAATCAGGCTACCCTCAGCAAAAGCAAACGATAAAGGGCTTCGATAAAATTAGCCCTCGAATAATTTAAAGTCTTCGATAATATCAGCCTTCAAAAAAACCTCAAGAGGTATTAGATTAGGTTTACACAAACAAATTACAAATAAGGTTCCAATCCGTTGAACCTTCGAAAAATCCAACGGTTACAAAAAACACATGCTAAGGCGTATATAGATTTTCACTAAGTCTTTCAGCCAAAAAAAGGAAAAATTATAGCCGCTTTAGAGGCCGAATTGGCCCAACTTAAAGAGCCTAAGGGCCGACCTAAAAGAGCCTAAGGGACGACCTAAAAGAGCCTACGAGCCGATATAAAAAGCCTAAGGGCCAAAATATATAGGGTTCAAGACCTTGTTCTCACTCAACTCGGACTCAAGAGTCACGAGATCCCGAGCTCGCATCAAATCAATTTAAGCTTAGCTCGAGGATTAACAAAAACCTTAAGAAGTATTATATTGATAAAAAAACTAAGGGTTTATTATGTTATGAGTCCAAGCCAATATTCAGACTGATCATTAGAGTTCTACAATCAAATTTTTCACAAGTGAAGACGAAATGAAATTCAACACAAATCGAAGATGAAGCAAAGAGGTTATTTATATTTATAAGAGATGTTTACAAAATATATTTACAACGCCCACGAGGGGCCCTTGCACAAAAACACAAAAATAAAATGAAGGAACCTAAATCTACTTCAAGGCCACATCCTCGGGAGTTGCATCTTCGGGAGCCACGTCTTTGGGAACCTCCTCCTCTGGGACTTCATCTTCATCTCCTCCGCTCTCGGAGCCACTAGCTGAATCCTTGTCATCAGAGAGCAAAGCAACAGCCTCTTCCTCCAAAGTCTTTGCTTTTTCAATATCAGCTGAGAGATCGAAGCCACGAGCATGCACCTCCTCGAGGGTTTCTCTCTGGGACTGCTGCCTGGCGTGGTCAAGAGCACATGATAACTTAATTTCGGACGCACCAGAGATCTCTTTTGCCCGAGTGTTAGCGGCTTCAGTGTCAGCTCGGTACGAAGATACCAATGCCTCTGCATCAGATTTGGCCTTTGCAAGCTAACGATAGATTTAGCTTCGAGCTCCTCGATTTTACGGCTTCGGGCCAGGCTTTCCTCCTTTAAATCTTGAAGCTGGAATTCAATTGAATTTAGTTGCTCCCGAAGTGTATCTTTCATTGAGGCGAGACTGTCCATGTGTTGTTTCCACCCTAGGGTCTCAGCCTCTTTCATCTTGAGCTCCTCTCGAAGCTGCTCTACTAGCTCGCCCTTTTGCTGGGTCTGCAAAGTTGAAATGTTAGTCGCCAAATCAAGTAAATGCATAACAGACCCTCAAAGGTTATATTACCTTTTCAATAAACTCGGTCTATTCTCGACAAGCCTTTTCCAACTCGGCTCGGAGATCGCTGATCTCCCCCTCTTTTTTGACGTAGAGGATCTTAAGGTTGTCCCTCTCTTCCATGAGCTTCTTTAGTTCGGCTTCACTTCAGGCAAGATCGGCCCGAGATTTGGCAAATGCTCGTCGGTGAAGCGATACGACCTTCTTACAAAGAAAAGGTGTTTGGCTTAGAGAAGTGAAAATTAAGTTCGAAGCGTAGTTATGAAGACAAAACTTACTTGTTTGAGAAGCTTTTCGGCCTCATCAAAAATAAATGAGGCGTCAGGATCAGGGCCATCTTTGATCCCCGCAAGGCACTCCCGAAAAATATCGCTCCCTTCATGGGTCGTTTCCATGCCAGGAGTCCTCATGGCCTGGGCATCTCGGAATTGCCCCTCGGAGAACAACGGGCCCTGCGGCGAATTATCCACATTGATTACGCCAAGTGATTCACTTGGGATGTTATCCTGTCTTTGAAGGGCCTTGGAATCGGGCCCCTCGATCTCACTCTCCAATTGACCTCCAAGACGAGGTGTTCTTTTGCTGCCCGATGGATCGAGGACTTTGCTCGAACTCCCCTCGACGATTTCTTCAGTTCGAGAATGAACTGCATCAGCCACCATCGGTTCGGCAATCTTCGAAGTGTCAGTGCTTCCTCTTTTCCGAACTACCAACAGGCAATCATCATCTTCCCCCTCTTTATCCTCATCCCGAAGGCATTGGGCCGTTTCTAGAGACATGACCACAGTATCGGCCTTAGGCTTTCGAGCCTTGCTTTTCTTTGGCTTTGGGGAATTTGCAGGCGACCCCCTCTTTCTTTTCTTTTCCTTGGAAGGCTTTGGGATCTCTTCTTCATCGGGCGGGGGCAGCCTCATAACAACGACGTCTCCGAGGCCTACATAAAGATAAAGTAAGTATTTCGCTAAGAAAAGTAAGTATGCAAACAAGAAGACTTACCATGGTTTTTAGCCTCCCATCGACCTTTGGCCAGGTCACGCCAATTGCGCTCTGCGTATGAAGAAGTAGAGGCCAGTTTTCGGACCCAACCCTCGAGGTCTGGGACCTCCAGGAAACCAAGTAACAGCTACACCATCCGAAAAGGATTAGGTCGAGAAAGATCAGGGAAAACGAAATATAAAGTCACTATCGATAAACTTGTACTTATGTTTCATGTTCCATTCCTCGGGTAATGGCATCCTCTCAGCAGGAATCGGGTCGGAGGTCCTGATTCAGACAAACCTGCTCATCCATCCTCGATCCTTATCCTCATTGATGCTGGAGAGGAGAGATTTCGTGGATCGGTATTACAGCTTTATCAGGCCACCTCGATAAAGACGATGGTTGTATAGCCTGATCAGATGGTCAAGGGTAAAAGGCATCCCTTCGACCTGGCTTGAGAAGTATCTGATCAAATTGACGATGCGCCAGAATGAAGGATAGATCTAGCCAAGTGTCACTTAGTATTGTTGGCAAAAATCAAGAATAACTGGATCTATGGGACCCAGAGATGGATCTGTAGAACCCAGCGTGAATGGGTAGGTATACACGCTTAAGTACCCTGCCTTATGAGTGGTGATGTCTTCTTTAGGGGAAAGGATCGCCACATCTTTGTTATCCCGGTTGTAGTCCTCTTTCACCCGCTCGAGCTCACTTTCGGTTATCAAAAAGATGTATCGGGACATGGGATCACATCGGCCTGGTGTCGACACATGTTTATAAATCTTGAAATCGGATGTTATTTCGCACGACGGGGGAATACACTCCTCGACACGAGGTGGCACCATCATTTTACTTCTGGCCGGTCGTGATGACGAAGAGGCTTTTTCTTTTTGAGGAATAGTTTTAGATGTTTTAGCCATGGCGGTTTGTAAATTTAAAAGAGGAGGAAGAGTAGATGCTGTAGTGATAGAAAATTGAGAAGAAAGTGAACTCAAAGGAAGTTGAAAGAGCTAAAGAGATTTCAAGGATGATTTGAGAAGTAAAGTTTGCAAAATGGTAAAGCTGGCCTGTTTATAGAGGCCACTTAAGCGTGTTAGGGAAGCCGAATAGCCGACCATCAGTCGCTTCTAATTAACGACCTTGGAAACTGTGCAGACGCAACCTTTCAATCACTTCAGTCGCTGATATCACGAGATTGGCATCATGATCGAGGCATCGAAGGGTTGAGAATCAAATCGTTTCTTATCATTTTATTCTAAGAAACGCGGGGACTATCTATATACAGTCAAAATCATATGCCTCCGATTTTGTAGGCTCGAGAAGTTGCATTAAGGACAAAAGTTCGATATTGACCAAACTCGAGCTCGAAGGTAGAATAAGAGGCTCGAAGACCTAAGTGCTCGAGGAACATCGGAGCCAAGTACGACCAACTCCGAGACAGTGCCATTGTGAGTTTGTTACAGAAGGACAAGATTTCCGCCACGTCCCCAAGATCATGGGGTAAATTCAGCGATAGATTTGTACGAATCAGTACAAATCCGTACTAGGCGGTTATACAGCTGTCCTAATAAGATTCTTTACTGTAAATGAAAATGTACCTTATGTAGGGCTTCCCCTATTATATAAAGGGGACCCCAATCATTTGTAAGAATCATCTAATCATTGGCAAAGAATATACTATCCTACTTTTCTCGCTCATTGTTCATCAGAATTGTCTTTTTGCTTTATTGTTCTTGCTTTGCTGTTCTTAATACCCATCTCGAGGTCACTGGGCTCGAGGTCGATACAGCTTAAGTAACACTGGTTTGATTCACTCATTTCTTTCATTTATACTTTATACTTCTTGATTATTAATTGGTATTGAACCAAATCACGTATCTTTAAAACCATAAATCAAATTTATTGTTACTCGTATTTTCAAGGTAAACACAAACGTTCAGTAGCTGCATGCAACACCAAAATATTATACGTACCTCCAGTGGCGAAGTTAGGAATTTTCTAAGGGTATTCAAATTTGAAAGAAGTGAAAAAAAATTCTCGACAAAGGGTGTTCAATATGTATTATATACCTCTAAAACGTAATATTTTATTTATATACACAGTGCAATTTTTTGACGAAGGGTGATCAGTTGACCACCCTTGTCACCATGTGGCTTCGCCACTTCGTACTTCCCTTCGCATATATATTGAGGATCCTCTACAATGATAGTAACATATATGAAGCTGAAAATCTAAGGTAGAAGTTACTGCTGGGCATTACATTTCATGAATTGTAATGTCATACATCACAAATATCATGCTAAATTTCAAAATTTTACAATATCTGATATTACAAGCCATAAGTTGATTTTTTGAAGACTCAAAATCTTAAGCTTATTGTTCACCTTGGTCCGGACAAAATGGAAGGCAATATTGAACTGATAGTGGCTTCCCTCTGTTGGTTGCCTACAACCTCAGGTAGGTTTGTGAAATTGTAATCCAAGTTGGATTCGACAGAGACCAAACCTTCTAGCGCCTTGACGACCAATGTCATGGAAGGCCTCTTTGTGAAATCACCCTGTAGACACCATGCAGCAATGCTCATCATTTCTGTCACTGCTTCTTTGTGGAGCTGCATATCCTCATTGTTTTTGTCAACCATATCCATAAGCTGCTTTTGTTCTGCTTTTCTCCTAAAAACACTAACCAAATGGACATCTTCTTCATCAGCCTGGGACCAATCCAAATTCTTTCTCCCACAGAGTAGTTCTAAGAGCACAATTCCAAAGGCATACACATCAACTTTCTCAGTGATTACTGAGCTCAACCATTCAGGAGCTAAATACCCTCGCGTTCCTCTCATTCTAGTTACCACTTTGCTTTTGTTTTTCTCAATCAGTTTCGACAACCCAAAATCAGATATCTTAGCATTGAAATTTTGATCTAGAAGGATGTTTTGTGGTTTGATGTCCAAATGAATTATCTTCTGGCTGCATTCGTCATGAAGATAAGCTAACCCTTTGGCAACATCTGATATTATCCTTCGCCTTGTATGCCATGTAAGCCCATTAGCTGGATTCTTATGAGAAATAAACCTATCTAATGATCCATTTACCATGTGCTCATAGATCAAAAGCCTGTGGTTCTTTTCGAAACAAAATCCAATGAGTTTTACTAAATTGACGTGGTGAATGCCACCGACTATCTTTACTTCTGTTAAGAATGAATCCTTTCCTTGAGCTACACAATCCAAATGCTTCACAGCTATTTTGGTGCCATTACTGAGTGTTCCTTCATATACAGATCCAAATCCTCCTTCCCCGAGCTTTCTGCTGAAATCTTCTGTAATTACTTTCAAGTCATTATAAGAGAATCGAGTTAGGATTCCCGGTAAGATTGTTGCTAGATCCACAAGATCCCCGGCCTTGCCGGTCAGCATCCTCCTTTTGAAAAGAGCAAACCACGTAGTGATACTTACAACTATTCCCACGAAAGCTGCAAGAGTAGATGCTACTATCACTTTCAGAGGTCTTGATTGCTTTCTTGGAGAAGAGATTGGTGATTGATACTGTGACTTTATGGAATTCTGCACCTTAAGAAAAACAGTCGTCTTATCTCTCCCTCCCCAGTTGTCCATAAAAGAAAAGACTTCATTCAGTAATAAGCAGTTTTTTCCTAGCGTTCCGGACCAAACAACAGCTTTGCAAGAACAGTTGCTCAGACATGCTGTTTTGCAATCTTCCAACTTTGTTCCCTCGAACCATATGCTTGAACTTGGTTTAAAGTTAGCCTCAAATGCAAAATATGTGGTTTCTTTGAGCTCTATTAGACTATGATCTTGCAAAGAGTTGCAAGAAATGGATGTTAGCTGTGAGCATCCAAGATCTGGATTCCTATTTATTGGCCTGAAAAAGTTTCCTTCTACCGGACAATTACATTGCTTATCATTTGTACAAATGCTATATCTTCCACACACTATTGGATACCCACAGTTCCCTAAATTTGGAGACAGAAAATCAGATAACTCTATCCAATCAAAGCCATTCAACTGGTATACCCTTATATGTCCATCAGGCCCAAGCTTTATAAGTTGGGTTTCTGATGTATAAGGGTCTTGTAGAGCAGTGAGGGTTCTACCGTCAAAATCGTAATAAGGGCTACCTTGAGCATCATACTGATTTGAAGCTACATAATACTGAGGTGGGTCAGTATCTATGGAAGCCACCAGACTTCCATTAAGAACAGTAAAAGAAAAAGAATGATTTGTTAAAGGAATGGTTGCTGTAAGCTTCTGCCCAGAAACCAACTTCTGCCCTGGAAGCAAACAGTCTGTTGGATGATCAAAAGATTGCCAAATTGCGCGTTTTCTCGTATTAAAGAGCACGATATTCCCTCTTTCTGTCAAGTTTAAGCCTGAAATAGATTTGCCAGTAGTATTAGTGGACCAAACAAGAGTGCCATCAGAGTCTGCCAAGACCAAATTGCCATCTCGGCCTAGTTGCAACGTTGCATTGGGTTTGACTGGATGGTTCCGATTAGCAGACCAAACTAACTGGGGAGAATTTATGATATCATTCTGCCTGTCTCTGTTGTCGAACAAGAGGATACCAAGAAAGCATTCTGTGGTATTGTGATTGCAGCAGAAGCCACAAAGGAATTGTGGGCCGGCATTTCTTCGCAAAAGTATGGGTGTCACACCATACAAGTCGCCGGTGGTGGAGGTGGAATTTACAAAAAGAGACGGCCTGTTTGTGGATCAACAGGCCATCTCTTCAGAAAATGAAGAGAAGGATAAGAAAATATTGTCTCTGCTTTGCTATCATTGCTACTCCCTTAACTTAATGCTTGTTGTTGTGCATTTTTTTGGATATGATCTTCTTATTATGTATAGTTAAAGAAAGAAAAAGAAAATCATACAGAATTCCAAAGTGATATCTGTAATTGTAATTTGCTCCAAGAAATTAAACAACTAGTACTATAATAAAATTCCTAAATCTTTGTCAGTCTTTGCCCAGTCAATACGGAGAGGGCGCTCAAATTTTGTTGACTTGTACACTCTTTCCGGCAGCTCAGTGTTGACTTAGTATAATATAACAAATGACTTCTTATTTCATTTACTAAACTTTGAAACCCTCATGCTCCAGATATGGCTATTACAAGTAATGCATGATTATGGTTATTAATTTAAATAAACTTTTCACCCATTCAGCCTCTAATTAAATCCTCAAATTACATTTCTACTGCAGATTGTTAACTGCTTAAAGATGTTCAACTTTATGCCAATGCAGTTTTGCTTCAAAGCAAGCAAAAGACCTTCTAGACACTGGAACTGCATATTTAGCTTGAAATATGGCTTTTTTCCACCTATAAAAAGTGATCTATAAGTATCACTTTTGGGATATCATTAGATACCAGTAACTAAGTATTTTCTCGGAGGTTATATAACTATGACTTTTTTCCTCCCAAAGTCATATAACTATGTTTTCTCACGTAAAAATCATAAAACATCTACTAGCTCACACAAAAATCATAGCGACCGGAAAATACAACTTTCCGATAGCATTTTCCTTTTTCACTTTTTTTTTAATATTTTCGATAGCAGAATTTACCTAAAAAATAGAGGAGTCCAGCTGTGCGACTGTATTGCTGTATTCGTGCTACTAGAGCCTAAAAAAATAGGGAATCCAACAGTTAATAACGGAAAGATGATCAATTAACGTGTATCACTCCTAATTTAACTCAACAAAATCAATTCTACATAAATTTCGCTGCTACTGTGTTGTCTTCCATGTATTCGCGCGACTGCAATTTTGTAAATACAGTGATGTAATCAAGAAATAGGATATATACCATTCTATTCAATTCACAGATATTCGTTATTCACTATTATACATTGTATTCAAATAACAAAAAATCACAAAACACACTGATATTCAATTGTAATAAAAAAATGAAGATCTTCAGCGAAAAAATAATGTATTTATACAAAAATACAATATATTTGAATGTATTTGTACATGATACAATGTATTTGTATCATTGTATGTGACTAAAATAGCAAAGAAGAGAAAAAAAGTACGTCGGAGATGGCGTTTTTCGGCCAAGCAAAAATATTGTATAGATTGTATTAAAATTAAAAATAGAGACGAACAAAAATGCGGCCCTCAAATCTTCTCCGGCATAGCCATGGCCAGATCTGTTCGCCTAAAAGGATGAGCTAATAGTGGATGATGATGCCGATGATTCTGACGCCGACGACCACAATGATGACGCGACGATTTTACTGATTTGATGGAGAAGAGAGAGGATTGAGAATTTTGCTGATAGAGAGAGAAGGAAGAGAGAGTGCAAGAACTTAATTGGTGTATTTCATGCTTCAATGGTAAGTATAAATAAATACCTATTTTGCTATAAAATAGAAAAGATAACTATAAATAATAATATTTTGAAATTATTTTAATTTATAGTAATAAATAGGGTGTAATAGTTTGTTAGAGGAGATAGAATATCTTCCAAGAATTAGACATCCCAACAAGAGACTTATTTGATATCCTGGTTTTCTCATTTCTTTTTGTCTAAGCTTCTCTTCTCCTCCTTCTATCAGTGTATTTTTTTCTTCTCATCTCTTTATGTTATCTAATCCTTTTACTGTTTTATTATAATTTTCAGTTGTTTGTAATTCCATTCAATGAATCAATATATACAGCTGTTTGGTTGTTATTTGGTTTGTGTCATTTTCAATCCTTCTAGCCTTCTAGGAATTCTCTTTGCAATTTCTGACCATTTAAATTTGTTTCCAAAGTTGCTTATGCGCTTCCACTAACATCTAGGGGCGTATGTAGCTCTAAAGCTACGAGTTCATTTAAATTCATAATTTTTAATATTAAGTATAAATTCATATATAAAATTTACTAAAATTAAAACAAATAATATGTATAAACTTATATCTTTAAAAATATAGTGAGGTTAATACCAAGAACTTTAAAGGTTAGAACTTATAAAATTTTAATTTGGGACATCAACTCTTCTCCTTCACTCTGTTAAAAAAAAAAAAGACATCAAAATGAATAAATTAATTAATTATATGGGAAAAAAGATGTTCATGAACTACAAGAAATTTATATAATTAATTTCCTTTCTCAATGAGGTGGACTACCTTTTATAACGAATTTTGATGCTTTGTTAAAGAAAAGTTTTCAGGATCACGTGAAAATTGAGGATAGAAATATATCTGTAAAGCAGCGTAATTAGAAGGATGAAGTGAATGCAAAAAATCAAACCCTAAAACACTTTTTGAAGGAATGTACTAGACTTTATTAAGAAAATTAGAACATTTTAAACTTTAGAGTACAAAGGAAAATTAACTGAATAAAAATAATGGGAAAGAAAACCTTGATATGTGGACGTAGATGATTATAAGCCATCTCTCTCGATAGTGTTTCCCTCTCCTTCCTTCTTTTCGACGGTATTTTGGTAAATTTTGATAGGAAAACAAAAAATTCCATAAAAAAGAAGTCAAACAAAAAGAGGAAAANGACCTACTTTTTGGTCTGATTTGCATACTATGATTGCCTTTCTTGTTTATATCATTTAATTATGAATATTTAGGACTTCCCTAACTCGGTGCGGCTTTTAGAATTTGTCTTTCATAATGTTGCGACATATATTGGAAAGTTGGAAACAAGCATTTTAATGCAGTTTGAGGTTAGCTATTTTTTTTTTTTTTTTTTTTTTTTTTTTTTTTTTTTTTTGTGCTTTGAACCAACAACTATTTGTTTTCTTTTAGAGGGAAAGGTTAATTAAAGGAAAAATTACTCCCTTTGTCGGTTGGCGCGATATTTTAATAAAATTGGGCCTATATTTTACCTTCTTACCCGGTATGGCCCAGTTTGTACATAAGTTGAAAAATTATTTTCATCGGTTAGCCACATTACTGTTTCCACTTTTTTTTTTATGCGGAGGACTTTTTTCCATTTCAATTCATAATTCTGATAAGTTTTCTCTTTTATATTTTCTCCTCACCCCTCTTTCTCTTTCATTTTCAATTCGTTGTTGCTCTTTCTGTCTCTCTCTTTGGCAAAATAGTCTGAGTTCTTCTTCAAATTTCCTTGCTCTGTTTCATCTGTCTCTTTCTTTTAGAGGGAAAGGTTAATTAAAGGAAAAATTACTCTCTTTGTTAGTTGGCCCGACATTTTAATAAAATTGGGCCTATATTTTATCTTCTTACCCGGTATGACCCAGTTTGTACATAAATTGAAAAATTATTTTCATCGGTTAGCCACATTACTGTCCCCACTCTCTTTTTTTTTTATGCGGAGGACTTTTTTCCATTCCAATTCATAATTCTGATAAATTTTCTCTTTCATATTTTCTCCCCACCCACTTTCTCTTTCATTTTAAATTCGTTGTTGCTCTTTCTGTCTCTCTCTTTGGCAAAATAGTCTGAGTTCTTCTTCAGATTTTCTTGCTCCGTTTCATCTGTATCTTCCTCTTCCACAAAATACCACTGTCGAACAATCCACAACCGAATCTATCTTTTGTAGTTTTTATCTTTTCAATTTAGTGCTCGTCGAAGCCGATTCCGACTTTGACATTAGAGGATCTTTTTATTTTCTGGTCGTTGGTGAATCTACATATATTTGATTCATTCCTGGTACTTGAGTTTAGTGTATTACTTGAGTTTGGTAATTGTTAAACTTCTACTGCTTTTATATTTTGGCGAATTTTGTTACATAAAGTTGTACTACTGGAATTAAACTTGTGGTTCATGTATTACCTGATGGTAATTGTTAGTTGTCCTGTTTTGCTTTATGACGAAAAGTTGGTTTACATCCCGTTCGAAGAAAAAGAAAATATTGAGGGGTTATTTCTTTTAATTCTTGTCTTTTATTCTAAGTTATGAAATCTCCTTTTTTTGATAATTTTTCCTTCCTCTTCTTCTTGTTTCTTATTCTAAGTTATGAAATCTCCTTTTCTTCTTCTTCTTCTTCTCCTTCTTTTGATAATTTTTCCTTCCTCTTCTTCTTGTCTCTTATGCTAAGTTATGAAATCTCTAAGTTAATAACTTCCAAAGGGAGGGAGAATGATGTATATATATTTTGTATAATCATGTATATTTGTGTGTATTCTCATAGTTATACAGAATTATACATGATTATACACAAGTATACAAGATTATACATAGGTGTACATAATTATACAACATAGATAATTGTAGAAAAGTGTTTGGATTTTCTTGCCTCCAGATAGTATGTATTATTATAATTGTGTATAATTAATATATGACTATGTATATAAGGCGTTTAATAATGTAATTTTTTATTTTTTTCTAGTGAAATAAGAATCTCCCTTACAAAACTTTGAATCTTGCAAAAAAAAAAAATTATTAAAATTATAAATTTTAAGGATGAATATATTTTTTACTTCAACTTTGTCATATTGTGAATTTTAGGAAATATATAAAGAGGGAAGAGTATGAAAAAAAGAATGAAAATTGAAAAAAGGAAAGGATAAAAATGAGAGAAAAAGTGGAATCTGATTTAGGCATGAAAAGACCGGTAAAAGGAAAAAGTAATCAAAATAAGTAATCTCTTGACGAAGTCCGACGAGATTAATGGGTAAACGATTGACGAAGTCCGGCGAAATTTGCGAGTTGGACTTGTTTTCAGAAATTAATCAATGTTTGTGGGCTATCAGATGAAAACGGTATATGTAGGTTAGGCGGGTGAAAAGTATTTCCTCTAACTGTAT